ACAAGGCAAGTGGGCTGTGCCAAGTTTGTAGATGGGGCAGAGGAAGCTAGAACAATGGGAAAGTAAGCTATTGATGTTAGGTCCAGCTATTGAAACAAGATAAGAATGAGGCTAGGGTCTTTAGCTTCCCTAAGGAATACTTTTCCAGCTACCTTCTGCCCCATGTCCGGCACCTACATCCGTGATGATTGTTCTGTTTGATCCATTCTGGATTTACATATCTATATATATATATGACAAGCAAAAAAAAAAAAAAAAAAAATGCTGGGCTCTACCCTCAAAGCTTCTGATGCACTAGGTCTAGGAGGGAGCAGCTAATATGCATTTCAGCTAGTTCCCAGGTGATGCTTCTGCTGCTAGTTTGGGCAGCACACTTTAAGAATCAGAGCTCTAGGGCTAGGGGTGGTGCTAATCTTCATTCCAAATGGAAGGGAAGCTGCTAAGGAGTTCACTTAAGTAAGTTTTCCTGCTATGAAGATTTGTTTCCCTGTCACTTGCTGTCAACACCCCTTCACACAGCAGTGGCTGACTGGCTTTATTCTCAAAGTGGAGGCCTCTCAGTAGAGAGAGTGGACACTTCTTGGCTCCAGGCAGGAAAGGGAAAGGAGAAGGGACCTCCATTTGGTTGGCAGAGCCTGACTAGGCAGCCGGGCCCAGAACCCTATGGCTTTCCCACCCCTTTGCTTTCTCACCTATAAAACGAATAAAGGTGCTGGTCCTGCCAGTTTCACAGGTTGGGGTACATAGAGGAATGGTTGGTTGAAAGGGCCCTGCATAACGCAAAGCCTAAAGGACTCGCAAACAGCCTTAATCGTAGTAAGGGGCACATCAGGGCCGCAAGAAGACCCCCTTGGGGACACGGCACAGGTGGTTGGGGGCTCCCTATGCTTGCCAGTCTCCTAAAGCAGGTGCCCACTTTCAGAAGTTCTTTCTGCACACCCCACCTGGGCGCCTCTGCTGGAGGCCTGCCTGAGCAGGGGGCACACGTGTGCGCTTGAGGATTTCTTTTGCGAAGAATGAAACCGCCCTTCCTTTCCGTCCGCGGTCCCATCCCACGTAAGTGCCGTGGAACCCCGAGGTGATGAGCCGCGGGAAGCCGGCATCTCCCGCGCTCCAGTGCCGGCGCCTGGCAGACCCCCGGTCTCGGAGTTTTCTGCTGGGCCTCGTCGCCAAGTGAGGGCCGGGGCTGCCCTGCAGAGCGTCTCCGCGGAGCCCTGGGGACCGCTCCTCTCCTGCAAACATGATTCAGAACCGCGCGTCAGCCTTGGCTCCATCGCCTGGCTCGAGCGAGCGGGTCTTGGCTGCCTCGGCCCCGTCTGAACCCTGCGGGCCGTGGGCCAGGGCGGGCCAAGAGCCGCCGCGCCAGGACCCTCCCCTGACGCCAGGACCCTGCAGACCCGGCCGCAGCCGCGCAGAGTGCCTCCCGCCGGGGCCTCGCGCCCAGGGTCCACGCTTGCCACGCCAGGGCTGCACGGCGGGGTCCGCAGCTGGGTCTGAGCCTGGGACTTAGGGCTCCCTGCGCTCCGTGTGCAGCACCCCGCGCCTTCACCCCAAGCGAACGGGTCCTGGGGCTTCACCGGCAAGGCCAGAGCCCCAGCCCTACTGCTCCCCACCCCCGCACTGCCCCTGTGCGCTGGGAAGGGAGTCAGGGACAGGGGCCGAAGAAAGGAGACCTGCCGGCCCCCCCCAGGCTCCAGCCGCTTGAGGTTCCTGATATGTGCAGCTGTGTGGCGCCCCGCTTCCAGCATGTTCTTGGTGGGGGCTCCCTCTCTGTGAATTGGTGGGCAGGGATTTGCCTTGGAGGGTGGCACCTGGCTACAGAAGTGTAAGACTTAGTATCCGGTGAGCAGAGGGTCCTTTGGATGAGGAACTGAAGCTTCTGGGGGTCAGTCTGGAATCTTGGTTCCACCAATTATCAGATGTCCAACTCGGAGAAATCCACTCCCCCTCCCTGTTTTCTTGGTTATAAATAACTATGGCTACCATTTGAGTGCTTATTATTTTCCATGTACTTTACATATGTTATTTTTATCTTTCCAACTATTTTGCAGGCCACATTCTGCTGATGGAGAAATGGGATCTCATCCAGGGAAAGTGATTTGCCAAGGTTACACCACTGGTAAGTGGAGACCTCTGACTTGAACCTGTGTCTAACTCCCGAGACTGTACTGTCTCTGTCAGTGAGAGCATGACACCATACAAAGAATTTTAAAACTGTAAGATGGCGGTGGATACCATTCTCTTCTGATCTGTCCTCAGGCCAGGTCCTGAAGGTCAGGCTGAAAGCACGACCTTTCTTTCTCCCTCCCTCCTCAGCCACACCTCCCTCGGAGGGTCATAGTGCAAGAGGTAGGGTCTGGGACGGGGGACTCCTGGGTCAGTCTGGCCCCCCTCCCCCACTTGGACCCTTTCCATCCTCATTTCTGGGCCACACTGCTCAATGTCCTGGAGTGAAACCAAAGGTGGGCTCACTGTTGTGTGGCCTTTCTCCTCCACTATCAGTTGCACAAAGGATTTTCTCCTCTGCTCAGAGTGGGAAGAAGACCAAGAAGGTCTGTACAGTAACTGGAGACCCCAGCGCCCAGTTTGGACTCTTAGGAAGCCAGCGGTGCCTCAACTTTCTCTTATGTGTTTAGAATTCACTTTGCAGAGAAAATGGGTGGACTCTTGGGGAGAGGAGAGCCTGAGTGTCAGAGAAATTTGGGCACCAGTCTGTTGTAAGATGGAATCTATTGATAATGCCACCACCAGTCTTGCCTGACCTCACAAGAGTTGTGGTAAGATTCAAAACAGATAATGGCCACACAAGTGCTCTGGGAAGTGTGAAGTGCCTAAGGTTGTATTATTCATGGAAGCCACAGCCGGCAACAGGAATACAAAGATGAATGCCATCGTGGAATCTTTCAGGCTAGCAGGGGAAATACCAACGGCTATACAAACTGTTAAAATATAAAACGGCTTGCAAATGCTCTACCAATATGTCCACGTGGTGTTGACTCATACTGATTTTGTAACAACAAAGAATATATACAGTTCCATCTGGGTAACCTCTATTACTATTGCGAGAATGCCTTTTCTTCACAGTAGCTCTAGCCAATCTGCCTCCCCTCTCCAGTTAGCCTCCTTCTTACCACCTGAGTGATCTACGGCAGGAATTCTTTTTCCTTCAGGGTGTGCTTGTATTAGTTCCCTATTGCTGCTGTGATAGATAACCACACATGTAGTGGCTTACAACACACATTTGTTATCTTACAGTTCTGGAGGTAAGAAGTCCGAAATGTGTCTAAAATCAAGGTGTCAGCAGGACTGTTCCTTTAGGAGGCTCTGGGGGAAGATTCTATTGCCTTGCCTTTTCCAGATTTTTGAGGCCACCTGCATTCCTTGGTCCGTGGTCCCTTCTCCATCTTCAAAGCTATCTGTGACCAGTGGAGTCTTTCTCCCATTGAATCACTGCCACCTCTGCTTTTGTGGACACATCTCCTTCCCTGCCTGACACTCTTCTCTCCCCATCTCAAGAAATATAAAGTGTTCAACTCCTCCTCTTCATCAAATAGGTAACATAACAACTTTTTCTATGAATGCAACAAATTCTGGAAAAAACAACAACACTTTTCAGTTCCTAACTACCTTCCTAAAAACCAGACTCCCTGGTGTCGGGGAACAAGAAACAGTAGGTGATACTAAATAGCCTCCACATAAAAGGAAAGGGAAAGGTTGGGAAGCTCTAATATGTGCTTCACTGGGATGTAGGTACAGCCCTTGGAAATATTAGTTGCTAACAATTGTCCACAGCTCTTCAGCTGCTCTACTTCATAATCCTTTGGTGATGTAGACATCTAAAACATTTTTAAAGAAATCAATAAACAGTATTTTTTTTTAGAACAATTTTAGGTTCACAGCAAAATTCAGCAGAAAGTAGAGTTCCCTGTCCCTACACCCTCCTCCCACTTGAAACATTTTTAAAGCATTAATAGAATTCTTGGCTCCTTTTCTTTCCCCAAAAGAAATTCCTGCATCATAAAAAATAAAATCGTGTTGCTCTGGTTCAAGTGAACTCATGGAGTCCCTCAACCTCTGTAAATCCCACTGCATGCTTTGAAACCTGTGGTGCAGTTAACTTCTCTGAGTGGAATAATGAAAATAACTCAATTAGAAAGTACGCTCTGGACTACAGAAGTAGGGAGTTTGTCGTGTTGGAAATTCTCCAGGCTTCAGAAGCAAGAAACGTGGTAATATTCTCCCAGAAATTAGAAAAGAGCAGGCTCTTGTGCTGACATTTGGTTTCCCCACCTCTGCCACGTAGCATAGACTCTTCTAGGCCATACATCTGCTTATTTTAGTTACAAAAGTGAAAGGGCCAGTGGGCAACATGGTGAAAATTACATGGACCCAGAAATTGGGGACTGCATGGGGCAGTTCGGATCCATTCATTACATATTTATGGAGTCCCTATCATGGACGGGTTTGGATGTAGGGGACATGTTGATTAAGACCTAGTGTGGGCCTTTCGTGTTCTGGATCAGATAAGTGAACAAGCCGGTGAGGTTCTCTGTGGGCTACCCTGGGATACAGTGTTGCACGGGGTTGTGTGAGAAGTGCAGGGAAGGCCTAGAAAACTGCAGGGAGAATGATTTCTAAGCCAACACCTAGAAGACAAGCAAGAGTTCGCTGGGCAGAGAGAGAGGCTGAGAGAGGCTGGGCGAGGCTGGGATCGTGGAGCCGGATGTGCACAGCCGGGACTTGGGAAAGAGCTGCAAGGAGCGTGGGGCATGGTGGAGAGCAATCAGGGCCAGACGATGCTGGTGGGCCTGGAGGCCTTGGGAGCGCTGACTTTCTCCAAGACCCGGGATGCCAGGACAGGGTCGCAAGCAGGGGCCCAACAAGTCGCCTGGTTTGCTCTTCACTGGCAAGTTCCGTGGCCCTGGGCAATGTGCTTCTCCTGTGTTTTTCTTCTCATCGGTGCCTGGCCGAGCTCTGGAGTCACCTTCTGCTCTGAGCCTGAAACTTCAAGCAGAAAGAGGACGAAGTTCACAGCGCCGTTACTGGGGTTCTGCGACGTTCCCACGGCCGTCTCCCAGGCCCCAGGCCTCCGGCCTTCTGTCTGTCAAGGATGAAGGCGACCTTGCTCAGACTGCAGGAGATGGAGGAACGTGACCCAGCGGAGGGGCCTTCGGCTGCGGGTGCGACAGGCGGCCGGAGGGGTGAAGGCAGGGAGAGCGCGGTCAGTGCTGCGGGCTAGCGGCCTCCCCGCCGGCCGGGGAATGCGTCCCCAGCTCCAGCCGCATCTCGCCGCCTCTATGGCATCTCTGGGGCTTCAGAGGGAAGCTGCCCGACCCGGAGGCTTGAAATCCGCCCTTTGTTCCCTCCCGGGACGTCAGAGCCACAACTCACTAAGGGCGGCCGCCTCGGCAGCCGGAAGCGCGGGCCAGCGGCAACTTCGGGTCTGCGCAGGCGCAGGCCGGGGAAGCCGGGAGCGGCCGGGTTTCTGTGGCCCGCGGCTGCCCTCTCGTGGCCGCAAGGCGGCATGGCACGGCCGCTTCCACGCAGCGGCGTTGGGCGGGAGGCGGCAGGGCAGGCCAGCCGGGGAGGCCAGCCAAACGCTGTGTTTTTCCAGGTCCGCGCGGGCCAGGGGAACCCTGCGTGTTTGCTTGATGGGAGTGGTTTACTGGGAAACTAGACGGAAGGTATCCTGCAAATCGGCATGCACTGTATTGTTTAGGAGCCAACAGCCTGGAAAGTAAATACCAGGTGAGGGCAGTGCTGGGAACCACGGCCTGCCCCCTCCCCTGGTCCTCCCCTGCCTTGGCCCTGACATTGAGCGCGGCACCGCGGGTCTAACAGCTCCGCGGCTCAGGGAAGAGGGAGGAGGAGGCAGGCAGGGGGGAGGTGTCAAGACCCAGAAATAGGAGCCAGCCAGGGCCAGCCTATCCACGCCTGCCACCCCGGGGCCTGCAAACAGGGGATACCACCCCTTCTGCCCACCCCACGGAGGCATCCTACGCCCCCCCGACGAGTAGCCATTCCAGAAAGGCCAGCTTTCTGCAAGGCGGGGGTGAGAGTGGAGGGGTTGCTCAGCCACCCAAGCATAACTTTCTGAAGGGCACAGCCCACAAGGGAAGGTTTGGGTGACAGAGGTGAGCGCACACTGGCGTGAGGGTCATGGTCCTGTTCCACGCAGGGAGCCACAGATCATACAGTTTTCTTTAAATTCATCGTCACTAGCTGGGTGTGCCCGAGTCTTCTCCTATCTCCTGATTGTGCGTTGTCCTTCAGCTTTTTGTGCCCCACCCTGTTCTTGTCTCAAGAAGTCGACTTGGAATGTTTCCTCTTGTCCGCGGTTTGAAGATGAGTCACCAAAAACATCACCCTGCCCTTGCGGAAGTGCGTGTTGGCTGCTCGGCCATTTCACCTGTATGCCCCAGGATGGTTTGCTAAGGAGATGGTTTCTTCAGGGCTCCACTCTTTTTCATGCCCTTCTCAGCTCCAGACTACATCCCATCGATGGACATTATCCTGTACCCCCCGGGGGAGGAGAGTGGGGGAGAGTTTCTGTGCCTGGATTATTGGTGGAGGAGAGCAAGTGCAGCAATGAAGCTATGACTTTTGCAGAAGTCATGCATTCCGTTCAAGGATAGTCCTTTCTGTAGCCTCCACACATTCCCTCTCACTGCAGGCCCCTGGGGTTTTACTGTGTGACCGGGTCATATTGCATCTGCATAGATTATCAACGCACCTCATGACTGTGGAGGAAGAAGTCTGGGACAGAACATGGGTCTGGAAGGCTCGCAGCATGGACTTGGTCAGGTGACACAATGTCCCATGTTCTTCAAGAAGTGTCTAGACTAGGTGACTGATTCTATTGGAGATCTAGCACAGTGCTCTTGCCACAGAGAGGGGCAAATTGAGATCCAGAGAGAAGTGACCGGCCCAGGTCACTCAGCCAGCTGGTGACTGAGCTGGAAATCATTCCCAGGTCTCCTGACACCCAGTTCATTCATTTTTTGCACATACTTCCAAGGATTTACTGTATGCTAGGCACTGTTCTGGGTGCTGGGAATCTACGAAGTGCCTGTATAGAGTTTGTGTCTTGTAGTGTGTATGTGGGGAGGTTGTGGATAAACAAATAAACAGATTTATCCAGAATGCCACATGGTTAAAAGTTTTGATGATACTCAGTGCCTCTTCTCTTGTTTTTGAAGGGAATGGGTTTGAGGCTTGGGAGGAGATGTTCACTCATACATTCGGTCATTAAATAAACATTAGAGGATGTCTCACTATGTGCCAGATGCTGTGCAGGGCACACAGATATACAGGGAGGGTCTGCCTTCAAAAGCCACCACCCAGCTGGGCAGATAAGCTATGCCTCTTAGCATCTTTACATGGATTTCTGTAATTGTTATGCTGATTGTTTTTTTCTCCAGATCTCTCCCAAAAAAGGACACTTGTAGAAACGATGATTCTGAAATGGTACAAAACCCTTCCCCAAAAGGGAAAGCCAGCCACTGCTACTGACTTATTGATGGCTATCACCCAGTGGCCTTGGGGAGGCAGTGGGCAGCCCAATCATTGCCTGTAAGAAGGAGAGACAACTCAGCATCCGCCCTACAGTGAATAATAGAACAAAAAGCTCCTGGCGCCTGCGGGATCAAAGCACATGAGCAATCTCAGAGTCTCTGGGTTAGATCAGCAGAAGGGTTGGGCAGCCAGTGGATGTCATGGAACTATTTGGGGAGAAGTCTGGGTTGTGGAGGAAGCCTCAGCTGATTTGAGTACCTTACAGGCTCTCTCCTGTTAGCCTTCCTTGGACATGGAATGCTCTTCCCTCTATCCTCCCTCTTTACCACTGCTGTTCCCCAAGTCTAAAAAGATGGGGGCAGGAAGCAAGGCAGGAAGGGATGGAAAAAGAATACCAGACCAGAGGCAGGAGGCACTGGATCCGTGAGCGTAGGCATGCTGAATGTCTTCCATGACCTCAGTCTCACCATCTGTAAAATGGGAAGGTTGATATATGGCCTCAAACCTTCTGCCCACTTTGATAAATTGTATTTCACCAATAAGAGGCAGAGATGACCTTTTGCTTTCCAGGTTCCTGTCCGATTACTTCTATGTCAGGCAGAATGATTGCCCCGACAATTCTGGGTTCTCAAACTCAGTCTGTGAACCCCCATTTCTTGGGGGAGTTGAATCAGGACAAGCAAGAAGGCTATACTATTTCCACCTCCTACTTGCTCCCACTTGCCAATGGAGAGATCAGTGGCAGCCTTAGAGTAATTTTGGGGGTGTGGGGGGTGAGTTATTATTGGGGTTTTTAATCGGCAAAGAATATGTTTAGATGTTAATGTTTATGCCTTTAAATGTACATGCAGTTCTAAAGTAGAAGACCCTAGTGGTTGTGGTGCTGTGAGGCATTTTGCATATATTTATCTCAAGACGAACTGTGGGGTCCTTGTGAAAGTACGTGTGTGTGTGTGTGTGTGTGTGTGTGTGTGTGTATGCCCTGAGTCAGCCTGAGTCCTGAGCCTTTTGTCTTTGCTCCTGAGTAAGCCACTGGGGGAGGTAAATATATAATTGGAGGAAGAAATGTGTCAGGAAATAACTCCTTTACTCGTGGAAAGTCATTGAAAACCCTTGCTTTTGTGTATGAGCACAACACCCTGTAGGCAGGTGAGGAGTCTTAGAACAGAGAGGAGAGTAAACCAGATTAGCACGAAAGAAACCTCTGTGTTTGAAATAAACCCAGTGCAAAGGTCCACACAGACAGAGCATGGAGGTGTGCTTGGCAGGGACACTGCACATACCTGTGTGATTGCAAGCCTGGACACGTGTACAGCTAAACATCCTCACAGATACATTTGAGTGGAGGGTGGACACCTGGTGTTATGGGTTAGACTGTGTCCTCCCACGAAACGTATGCTCAAGTCGCATCTTCAAGTACATGTGACTGAGGCCTTATTTGGAAATAGGGTTTTTGCGAATGTAAACCGGTTCAGTTAGTCAAGGGCTGCGCACGGTGGCTCATGCCTGTAATCCCAACACTTTGGGAGGCCAAGGTGGGCAGATCACGAGGTCAGGAGTTTGAGACCAGCCTGACTAACATGGTGAAACCCCATCCCTACTAAAAACACAAAAATTAGCTGGGTGTGGTGGCACACACCTGTAGTCCCAGCCACTCAGGAGGCTGAGGCAGGAAGATTGCTTAAACCGGGGAGGCAGAGGTTGCAGTGAGCTGAGATCGCATCACTGCAGTCCAGCCTGGAGTATCGAGTGAGACTTTGAGAGTAAGTCATACTGGAATAGGGTGGAACAGCCCTAATTCAATGTGACTGGTGTCCTCGAAAGAAGAGAGGAGTTTGGACACAGAGACAGAAGGAAGATGGCTACCAGGAAATGGACGCAGATTGGAGTTACGTGGCCCACAAGCGAAGGAATTCCTGGGGCTCCCAGTAGCTGGAAGAAACAAGGATCCTTCCCCTAAAGGCTTTGGAGGAGGCGTGGCTCTGTACCACCTTGGTTTTGGACTTCTGACTCCAGAAGTGTAAGAGAATACATTTCTGTTGTCTCCCACTCAGTTCGTGGTGCTATAAGATGGTAGCCCTGAAAAGTAAGATACCCAGGTAGGTAGGATGGACAGGTCAGGCCCACACCCAGGGTGCACAGGGGCTTTGGTAAAAGAACCCTCATTTCTGTGGGGAATCCATTGCCAGTGGTCTGGATGGCATGGCCACTGCCCCTCTTCAGGGATGTGTGCAAGACCCTGGCCTGGCCAATGAGAACACCTCACGCCCTTGGTCACAGTAGTTGGGTCAGTGTGGTCATGATTTACACAAAATGTTTCAATGTTTTCTTAAAATATTTAAAATTAAAAAATGGGTTTTGGCCTGGCGTGGTGGCTCACACCTGTAATCCCAGCACTTTGGGAGGCTGAGGCGGGAGGATCACCTGAGGCCAGGAATTCGAGACCAGCCTGGCCAACATGGTGAAATCCCATCTCTACTAAAAATACGAAAATTAGCTGGGCGTGGTGGCAGGTGCCTGTAATCCCAGCTACTCGGGAGGCTGAGGCAGGAGAACTGCTCGAACCCAGGAGGCGGAGGTGGCAGTGAGCTGAGATTGCACCATTACACTCCAGCCTGGGGGACAAGAGCGAGATTTTGTCTCAAAAATAAATAAATAAGTAAATAAATAGCATAAAAGTTATTTTTAAAAAAGTTTTTAAAATTTCAGTTGCCAATTGCTTTTTGTGAGCATGTAAAAATACAATTGATTTTGTATCCTGTATGCTTGCTAAATTCATGCATTAGTCATGTTCTTCTAGATTTCTTAGAATTTTCTAGGTACGCAAATCATAACATCTGAGAATATACACAACATTACTTCTTCTTTTCCAAAACTTGTGCTTTTCACCTCCTGTTCTTGCCTTGTTGCACTAGGTAGAACCTCAGTTATATATTAAATATATATATTTTTTAAATGGTGGACATCCAAGCCTCGTTTCCAACCTTGGGAAGACACTATTCAGTCTTTTGCCCTTGTCTGCTTCTAAGCGCTAAAGCCTGTGCTGTAGTGGGAAACGTTGCTCTGTGGGCCAGCCACGGTATGAGTGTGAAGTTGGAGCAGCAGCAGGCGCATTCTCCTGGGAACCCGGGTCTGGTGGCAGACACCTGTAACCCCTGCTATTCGGGAGGCTGAGGTGGGAGGATGGCTTGAGCCTGGGAGTTCAAGTTCAGCCTGGGCCACACAGCGAGACACTATCTCTTAAAACAAAAAATAAAAACAAAACCAACAACCTCCCCCCGCTGCCAAATTTTCCTGGGGAGGGTAAGACACACAATTAAGAAAGTAAACACTGAATTTATGTCAGCCTTGTCTGTATTTTAGTAGCCTTAGTTATGCATTCCTTCAGTTCTCTTTGTGGGACCTGAATAAATTATGACGTAAAGCCAGCTGAACTTACTGAGCAGAGCCTCCCAGACACTGCAGAGTCAAGGAGTCTTCTGTGCTCAGATCTTTATTCCTTTTCTTTCTTTCTTTTCCTTCCTTCCTTCCTTCCTTCCTTCCTTCCTTCCTTCCTTCCTTCCTTCCTTCCTTCCTTCTTCCTTCCTTCCTTCCTTCCTTCTTCCTTCCTTCCTTCCTTCCTTCCTTCCTTCCTTCCTTCCTTCCTTCCTTCCTCCTTCCTTCCTTCCTCCTTCCTTCCTTCCTTCCTTCCTTCCTTCCTTCCTTCCTTCCTTCCTTTCTTTCTTTCTTTCTTTCTTTCTTTCTTTCTTTCTTTCTTTCTTTCTTTCTTTCTTCTCTCTCTCTCTCTCAGCATTTATGCTTTCGGGCAGTCCTTTCCTCTTCATCCCTGTATCTCCCCAGTTACACACTCATATACACATAAACACTCCAATACCCTCAAACCACCAGAAGTCATATCAGAGACTGGAGAGCCTCGGATCAGAAATTGACGGAGACAAAGATGACCTAGGAATGATTGCTTGCCCTCCCCTCAGGAGTTTACAATTACTGATAGATACAAAAGTCTTTGCAGGGGGTGGGGGTGGGGGCTGGGAGAAACTTTACAAACGCACCTGTCAGCATACACGGGATAATAATAGAAAAGGGGGTTTTCATACAAGGGAAGCATCTGGAAACTGGGAGGGTCCGACAAAGCTGTATAATCCAGCTTCTATTGAGATGCAGGAGACCACCCCAGCTCCCAGTGCTTCCTTGATAAGCACCTTGAATTTGTGAGATGAAGTTTGAAGATGGGGAAGATATGCCAATTATAGCCTATGTTAATAAGCCGGTAAAGTAAATAGTTATAGCCTCATATTACCAAGCACGAAGGGAATATTTTGGCTCATTTAAGCGGAAAGTCCAGAGTGTAGGTCTGCCTTTAGGCATGGCCGGGTAGTAGACTAAGGCTCACATCCTACCAGATTAGCAACCAACCCCAGGAAGAATAAAGCTCCTTCTCCAATGGCTTTGGCAGAAAAGTCCCATAGGAAGATCTGATTATCTGGGTTTGGGTCACATGACCACCCTAACCCAATTACTGTGGCCAAGGGCATGAGGAATCCTGACTGGCCAGGCCAGGGTCTTGTGCACATCCCTGAAGAGGGGCTGTGGCCATGCCATCCAGACCACTGGCAGTGGATTCC